AATGTTCCAGGAAGCTGGGCATTGGTGGCTCATGCCTATAATCTTAGCTACTCAGGAAGCTGAGATCTGAGGATTGCGGTTTCTCAAGGGCAGGAAAGTCCATGGAACTCTTATCTCTAATTAACCACCAGAAAACCAGAAGTGGCACTGTGGTTCAAGTGGTAGAGCACTCACCTTGAGCTAAAGAGCTGAGGGACAGTGCCCAGGCCCAGAGTTCAAGCCCCACAACTGAACAAAAAAAAAAAAAGAGGGCTGGGAAGATGGCTCAGTAGTAGAGCACTTGCCTTGCATGCATGACACCCTGGGTTCCATTCCTCAGCACCACATAAGCAAAAAGAAAAAAGCGCTGTGGCTCAAGTGATAGAGCGCTAGCCTTGAGGTGAAGAACTGAGGGACAGCACCCAGGCCCAGAGTTCAAGACGCACGACCGGACCCCCCCACAAAAAAAGAAGTTACCAATGGTGGCTGGGAATGTAGGTTAGTGGTAGAGTTCTTGCTTAGCATGCATGAGGCCCTGGATTCAATTCCTCAGAACCACATACACAGAAAAAAAAAAGAAGTAACCAACCAGAACCAAGTATTCTAGCTCATGCCTGTAATCTTAACTTCTTGGGAGGCTACAATGGGAAAGATTGGAGTTAGAAGTCAGTCCAGAGAAAGAAGTAAGGAGAGCCCATCTCAACTGTGTGTACAACTCTCAATCCAACTATACAAGAAGCATAAATAGGAGGATCATAGTCCATATTAGTCCAGGTGTTTTTTTTTAAAAAAAGTACTACCTTATTGAAAAAAAAAACAAAATCAAAAAGGGCTGGGAGTATGTCTCAAATGATAAAGTTTCTATGCAGGAAGCACAAGGCCCTGAATCAAACCCCAGTTCTGATTTTAAAAAGAAAAAAGCCACCAAATAGACTGGAGCATGGATCAAGTCATATAGTGCTTGCCTTGCAATAGTGAGGCCTCAAGCTAGACACCTGTAGCTTAAACATGTAATCCTAACTACTCAGGATGTTGTCTGAGGGTCATGGTTCAAAGCCAGCTCAGGCAAGAAAGTTTCTGAGTCTCTTATCTCCAATTAACCAGCAGAAGGCCAGAAGTAGAGCTGTGGCTCAAGTGGTAGAGTGCCAGCCTTGAGCAAAAATACTAAGGGACAGCACGCAGGCCCTGAGTTCAAGCCCCAGTTCTAGCACCAAAAACAAAAACAAACAGACAAAAAAAGAGAAAGAAAACACAAGAAGTAATCAGTTTAGAAATAAATCTTAGAAGAGGGCCAAAGCCTTCTTAGGGCGGATTCTCCTGAAAGAAGCACAATCTACAGATATAGCCTTGGCAGAGAATGGTTTCCCTAACAGAAGGAAAAGGGAACTCACTGTGTCTGAGTTAGCAGGGTCAATCATGGCCGGAGGGTTGCTGATGAGACTAAGAAGCTGGGCACTGCGCCACTGCTCCGCTCCTTGGTTCCTCCGGACAAAGAGGAAATGCAAAGACAGTAAGGCTCCACTCACAGCCTGTAGGAAAAGACAAACCCTTCACGTCACAGACAGGGACATCTTTGCCTGAGAAATTCTCCACTCTTTCAGGGAACTCGCCTTGGTGTGAGGCCCAAACTCCTCTGTCAGCTTCTTCAGAGGGTGGTCATACTCCAAGACCATCTGGCCCAGGCGAGCAAAACTGGGGTCACTGGGAGAAAGCAAAGGAGGGAGAAGTTACAGGCCTTAAGCATGACATAAAGCCTATGTTTGAAATGGATGGACCTAGAACAAATCAAGTTAAGTGAAGTAAGCCAGTCTCAGAGAGACAAACAGAGCATGTTTTCTCTCCTATGTGGAAGCTAAATCTTTTTTTTCTTTTTTTTTATTGTGAAAATACTATGCAGAGGGGTTACAATTACATGGGCAAGATAATGAGCACATTTCTTATCAAGCATTGTAGCCTCCTCCTTTGTTTCCCCTTCAGAAGCTAAATCTAAAATACACTGGGATATGATAAATTATACAGGACTCTAGGCAGTCACACAATGAGACCAAAGGAGGATCTCCTTAGGAGAAGACAACAGTGCAATGCCCACATGCATCTGATCATATAAAATAATGTTTATCAAAATGAGCTCCAGGAAATGGAAATGAGGTGTTATTTTTTAATTTGTTGCTGTGTTTGTTTTCTTTTCTGTTTGTCATGTTTATTCATATATCTGTCTTTGGAAGAGTGAGGGGACACAGAAATAGAGGGACAAAAGGTAAACAAATGCATCAGTGGTGCTCACTAGACACTATGTGGAAAATGAACTATACAACATATGGGGACGAACAGGAAGGAAAAACTGGGTGAGAGCAAGGGAAGGGGTGACATTATCCAAAAAAAAATGTACTTTTTACCTGACTTATTTAACTGTAACTCCTCTGTACATCACCTTTATAATAACAATTTAAAAACTTAAAGCGTATGTTTGTATATAGGATAAAGATGTGTGCATAGGTTGGCATTCCCCATCATTCCCAAAGACCATCACACTAGTCTATACAAATGTCGAAGGCGGGTGGGGGACATGAAACTATAGATAGATAGTGGGTCAGGCATACGAGCAGGTATCCATATAAACACATCTGAATGTCCATCTTACACAGAACCATGGTTCTGTGTAAGAACCATGTCTTTTTGTCTTTTTTTTTTGCCAGTTTTAGGGCTTGAACTCAGGGGAGTCTGGTCATGGGCCTGAACTCTGGGCCTAGGCACTGTCCCTGAGCTCTTTCACTAAAAGTTAGTGCTCTACCTCTTTGAGCCATAGCACCACTTCCAGTTTTGAGTGGTTAATTGGAGATAAGAGTCTCATGAGGACTTTGCTGCCCAGGCTGGCTTTGAACCACGATCCTCAGATTTCAGCCTGTTAAGTAGCTAGGATTACAGGTGTGAGCCACCAGCCCCTGGCCCTCTTTTTGTCTTTTGTAATATCCTAAAAAGCAGAGTGGAAGCTAGTCCAGGTTAAAAAAAAATAGTTCAGGGGCTGGAAAGGTGGCTCAAGGGTAAAGCGCTTGCCTTGCATGCATGAGGCCCTGGGTTCGATTCCTCAGCATCACATAAGCAGAAAAAAAAGCCGGAAGTGGAGCTGTCGCTCAAGTGGTAGAGTGCTAGCCTTGAGCTGAAGAGCTGAGGGACAGTGCCCAGGCTCAGAGTTCAGGCCCACGACCAGACTCCCCCCACCAAAAAAAATTGATCAGAGATAATGCAAACTGGATAATCAATTATCAAGAGTTAACTACACATAAAAACATATGTTATTTTGCCTGGGCCATGATGTAGATTTTTTTATGAGAAATCACAGCATCTATTTCCTTTGAAGCTACCTTCTTACCTCAAATCATCATAAATGAGCCTCTTTATCTCCATTCACTTACCTATGCCCATGCATCATTTCATGGGCACAGTTGTACAGGCCAATGAGTATCCGCCGGTCCTCAATCCGTGACAGAAGTAAAATGACTGAGGTGTAAGTCACAATCAAGTCTAGGTAACTCCGAGTGAAGTCAAAGTTGAGATTCTGCAAGGAAAATATATAGGAACCCAATAACAGAATAACCAAACAATTTGGATCTCCCTATTTTGCAATTTCCTAACAGTGTTAAATAGACTCCAAAAGAATCTACAACAAGTAGAAACCTGGAGGATTGAAAATTCATGGGAAGAAATTTAAAACAAAAGTCATGGGCTAGACCAAGCACTGGTGGTTCACACCTGTATAATCCTAGCTACTCAGGAAACTGAGATCTAAGTATCATGGTTCAAAGCCAGACAGGGAAGGATAGTCTGTGACACTCTTATCTCCAATTAACCAGCAAAAAGCCAGAAGTGGAAGGGTGGCTCAAGTGCTAGAGCTCCAGCCTTGAGCATAAAGGCTAAGGGACAGAGCCCTAAGTACAAGCCACACACACACACACACACACACACACACACACACACACACACACACACAGTACAAAAGTCCAGGGCTAAATAAGGGCTCAAGATACAAGGAGACTGGGAAATAAGGAAGTACATGAAGGTTGGAAGAAATAAAGTAAGAAAATTTTGTATAATATTTGTATTAATTAAATCACATTGCTAGTTACATTGAGTACATTTTAACATCAGCACTTTTTACAAAAGAATTGTGGTCCTGAGTAGGAATAAGTGGAATAGCCATTCTTCTAGTCCCATCCCTTTCTACACTGTCTCAACTTACACCTGGTCTTTTCTTTAATCCTATTGTATAATAGAAGAAGGCTATAAAGGATCTTACAATATCAAAATGGCACTGGCAGGCATCAATGGTGTTGAGAAGTTCATATACATGATCCTGGAAGTGAAATTGAAAATAAGAGTGAATAGAGATTTTTTTTTTTGGGTCCAGTTGTGGGGCCTGAACTCTGGGCCTGGGTGCTGTCCCTCAGCTCTTCAGCTCAAGGCTAGCGCTCTACCACTTGAGTCACAGCGCCACTTCCGGCTTTTTTCTTTTTGCTTATGTGGTGCTGAGGAATCGAACCCAGGGCCTCAGGCATGCAAGGCAAGCGCTCTACCACTGAGTCACCTTCCCAGCCCCTAGAGATTTTTTTTTAATGATGACACATAATATCAAAATTTGAGGACAAGGGACAGGTCCCAGAGAGTTTCCAGGTAAAAAGTATGGAAGGAAAAGAAAAGAAATCTCTTCTCTGTAAGTCCTAATGACCCCTTTCAGATGTGTGTCCACAAATACAAGGTACTTCCATATCATGTATACTTTCCCTGAATTCACTATCCCTGAATGCTATTCCTCCACAGGGTAAAATGGGGCTTTTTAAAAGATGGATAGTTTCTATATAATCGGTCATTTATTTTCTTTAACAGTACAATTTAGATATCCTTCTATATCAGTACATGCCTCATTTCTTTCAAAAAACTTTATGAAGCCACAAAAATGAACACCTACTAATTAATGACAATGCCTACAAAAGAGAATTGGTCCAAAAAGAGCTCACCCGAAATTCCATGACATCCACAAATGACTGGTAGTAGTTGATGAGGAATCTAATTATCTCAGCTTTTTCACGATGAACTGGCCCTAAATGTTGCTGAAACACAAAACATGTAAAAATAAAATGGCAATTGGCCAAAGTTAACTCCATAGAAGGACTAATACCTGAACACCTTAGAGGTTTGAAATACATTGACATGGGAGGTGAAATCTCTCCAATGTTCTCCACATCTTTAAATAGAGATTCTTTACCTAGGTAAGATAGTTCTGACTAGATTCAGAGAGCTAAATAAGAGGCTATTTCAAGATTCCTTTTAAAGCTGGAGAAACATACTATCTAAATCAAAGTCAAAAGAAACAGGATAAGAAGAAGCTACAGGAAAAACAGATAGGAAGTTCACTGCTAATAATTAATAAGGGCAAAAGAGTGAATAGCCCACTAGATACATAGTTCTAAGCAAGGAAATACCCAGTGGAAACCAGGAAGAACATTAAAATATACACATTCTGCTAGGCTGGTAAAGTGTCCTTGTGAATCTCGCAATAGAGACACAGAGCAATGCTATGTTCCAGCTTGAGAGGCTCCCATCTCAGAATTCTCACGACTGGAAGCCTTATGTTTATGCCTCAGGAAACTAAAAGTATGAAGAAAAGCTGTCCAAAGAGGAGAATGTGAACGGTCTTTGCATACTATTTTGTCAGAGAAAAGAAAAGTAGGGTCAAGCTCTCACCGTGCTATTTCGGACATCTATGTTAGGAAATTTCTTGTTGATATATTTGAGACATGATTCCATAGACTTTTCCAGGAGGAAAGGCGGCTTGGATTTAGGGTCTGAACAAGTCTGCACAGAAAAACCGCATTATATTTCAACCCTTTGTCCCCCCTGAAACATACCTTTACCTGAATCATTCAATCCTTAGGGGAAAGCCCTGCAGGGAATTCATTATAAAAGCATGAGAGTAGATCAAGAACAAGTTCCAAAACAGTGAGCCAACTATCTTAAGAGCTAAGCAACAACCCCAGTGTCTTGTCTCACTGGGTGAAACTTAACATCTTCTTGGTCCCAGCACAAAGAGGAAGTCGTGTCCCCGCCTCTCAAGAGAAGACGGAAGCTATAAGAAAAGTGGTTTGTCATAGAGTTAGAATTGTGGGAGACTTGGGCCCACAGTTATGCCTATTAAATGAATATTTTTATCCCAAAGTGCATTTACTGGGGAAATTGGAACAAAGAAAACATGTTCCTAGTGATTTGTTTTATTGCAAAATGCACAAACATTTCCTCCCACAAGAATCTTATTCTCACTTCTAGTAACTTTCCACAGTGTCCCTGTCTTCATTTCTGCTTTTGATGTCTTAGCTAACCCCTGGCTCACCCATTGCCACCAGCTTCTCCCAGACTCACAGTTCTAATCCTACACACATAGGCATACAAATACAGCATGAACTGCACCCAAAGTACTTTAAAGGGCACTTACCACTTTTTTTTAATCTAACTATTTCTCTTTCCTTAAAGGGAAGTACTTCTACCCAAAAAAAAAAATGTTTTTGCTGCAGACCTAGCTTTAGGTTTCCTTGGCGCATAGGAGAGGATAAGTGATAAGACCCAGAACTCTAGCCCCAGACCCATGTCCAAATCATTCAGAACAAAATTACCCTCCCCACCACTGCCACCATCACCCTTACCTTCAATTCCAGTGTAAAGCAGTTGCTCTCACTCTAAGAATCGCATGTAGGAAGGGGAAAGCCTAAAAAGAAGCCCCCTTCTGCTTCCCCAAACCGTCTGGCCTCCATAATCTGGGCACCTGAAGATCAGTTAGGTCTAACTTCTGGACCTGCCAGTTTTACAGTTCCCTGCTTTACTCTTGCTGAAATAATTAGATCCGTTTCATTACTTGTGCTTACCTTCTTGATGTTGTATATTCGGATGAGAACTCCCTGACCTCGGTCATTGAGGATAGTGAGCTTCTCCGCTAATTTATGCTGGTAGGCAGAGGTCAAAGACATGATGGCCACGGAAAGAGAGGGGTATCCAGACAATAAGGCCTTGAGCTCCCTACACACTCTAAGTTTGGGTGGTGACACGCCCTGTGCAGAAGGACCCAGCCTGGTTGGTGTACTGGGCTTCCTGTGGCCCCTGTGATTGGTTCATGGGTGCAAGCAATCATTATGGTTTCTTGTGCTTCCTCTAATGCACACAGCAGAGGAGACTTCCTCTTTCTGGCCATGCAACACTTTTCAGTAAGCCTGTGAAGTGGAGCCTGAGGAAAGAGACAGGCTTTCAGGGTTCTTCACACTGTAGCACCTACCTTTGGCTTTAATTCTCCATAAATGTCCTACACAAAACTCTACAGCAGACAGGTAAGTATCTGCCAACCCAGCCCCCACAAATACTTATAGATTTCCCCTTTTTTATATGCTCCCTCAAGAATGCTTCTATAACTCCTTACTGAGCCTTAGGCCCTATATCATTTAAGATACATCTCTTGCTAACTACCCCACCCAGTGTAAAAATATTATGTTATATACTATTGTACATGCATATGCATTCACACGACCCCAGCAGTGGGGCTAAGGATGCAAGTTGTACTCACCTTTTCCATGTAGGGCTGGTATTCTACCACTTGAGCCACCTCCAGCTCTTTGCTGGTTAATTAGAAGTAAGAGTCTCATGAACTTGTCTGCCTAGGCTGTCTGGCTTAGAATTGTAATTCTCAGATCTCAGCAGCCTCCTGAGTAGCTAGGATTACAGGTGTGAGCCACCATCACTTGCTTTCCTTATTATTTTTTAGGTAAATGTCTTCTCTCTCCAAACTACAATATATACTCCTTAATGATAGGAATGATTCTTTTTATTTGATTCTTGGTATTGGTAGTTGGGCATGAACTAGTGAGACTTGAACCCAGGGACTCTCAGTCTTACTTGGCTCTCTTGCTCAAAGCTGGAGTTCTGAGTCACATCCACTTCTAGCTTTTGTTGTTTAATTGGAGTTAAGAGTCTCATGGACTTCTGAGTTTGGGGTGGCTTCAAATCTCAGTCCTCAGATCTCAGCTTCCTGAGTAGCTAGGATTATAGGTGTAAGCCACCAGTGCCCAGGTGAGAATGTTTCTTAAGATTATATCCTTTACAGTATTCCTAGTACAGTGATTCTCCAAGAGCATCAGCACTACCTTGACACTTGTTTGACAAATGAATTCTCTGGCCCCACCCCAAACCTATTAAACCCAAAACTGCAGGTTGGATTCAGCACTCTCAGGCTTAACAGGCCCTCCAGGTGATTACGCCTTTGAGTTTGAGAACCACTGCTCTAGTACAAAGATACTTAAAGTCACTAAAGAAACAGATTTATACCTGTTCTCTGAAATTTAGGTTGATAGCCTAGAAATCTTCATTTATAAGTAGAGGAGGAGTGTTGGGCGCAAATGTGCCAGGGGACACATATTGAGTAATACTGGTCTAGAGCAACACCTCTTGGACACAGTAACAACTTAATAAATATGCCAGTTGTAGTAATTTACCAAATTATTGATACTAGTTTGAGAAATGAGCCCTGTGAAGAACCAAATTAAGGGCTGGGAAGGTGGCTCAGTGGTAGAGTGCTTGCCTTACATGCATGAAGCTCTTGGTTCGATTCCTCGGCACCACAAAAGCAGAAAAAGCTGGAAGTGGCGCCGTAGCTCAAATGGTAGAGTGCTGGTCCTGAACTGAAGAGCTGAGGGACAGTGCCCAGGCCCAGAGTTCAGACCCCCACAACTGAAAACAATATCAAGATTAATTAATAATGATCCCTAAGTCTTTGATGACTGAATAAATTTTAGCCCCAATATATTCTTGTTATTCCAACCAAGTCTTCACCTCTAACTCAGGAAAACTTTTCATTTATTTCAAGTTCTTTCAAGGCACAAAGTAAATCAGACAGAGTTGTCTTTGCATCTATTGTCTTTCCAATTTGTTTTCTCTCACTTGAATCATATTTTCTACATCCTGAGAGCTCATATTGTGCCAATAATTCCAAGTGAGTTAGAAAAACAGAGTCAGGATGTACCTATAATCCTAGCTTTTCAGGATGCTGAGATCTAGCTCAAAGCCAGCTAAGTCTGCACCATTCCATCTTCAAAAAAATTGGAGGCATGGGTTAAGTGGTATAAACATCAGCTGAGCAACTATGAGGCACTGAGTTCAAACTCTGGTATGTAGAGGAGAAAGAAATGGGGAGAGAGGGAGGTGATCCGCATTATTTAAGAGGTTAATGTGTTTGCACTAAAATGAATATATTATTTTACTACCTTATGTTATTTATGTAGAGGGAGGTTTCATTGTTATATTTCCACCCGTTTATAATATATTCCAATTGAATGTATTTTAGAAAGAAAGAAAGAGAGAGAGAAAGAAAGAAAGAAAGAAAGAAAGAAAGAAAGAAAGAAAGAAAGGAAGGAAGGAAGGAAGGAAGGAAGAGGGAGAGAAACTGACAAATGCTAATGCTTAATGTAAACTTTCAAACATCTCTAAGGAAGACTTAAGATTTTTAGAAAGGAGAACCTATCTTTCAGTCTATCTACTGGATTTTTATCCTTTAAAAGCTGTAGGCCTGGGATTAGAATAAACCCTGAAGCTTTGAATCACCTGCTGTTATCAAAGAAACCCAGGTTCTTCTAAAGAGATCTATGGGGTTTCTATTGGCTTTTAACTTGATGGGGGAGAATAAATAGCAAGCCAACATCCAGAGGACTCATCTAGAAGGCAGAATAGCATTAAGCTTTTCATGGTACGTATCATGCTTTTGGCCCTTTCTCACTTGGTTTTCTTATCTTTATCCCAAAACTTTGGTTGAAGATGCTGCATAGCAAACTAATCTTGTTTCCTGCTGTGCCCTAATATAAACTCTCCAACCTAGTGGGGACTGTGTTCTCAGTCTTCTGGGATTATGCTACATTCATTTCCCTTTTCACATATATATGTTTTCCTCTTGTTAACTCAAATCCTGTTTAATCTTGAGGATCTAAAGCAGCAATCCCAAATCTAGCCTTTGTTGAACTCTTACGGCACTTGGTCTATACCACATGCTTTATTTCTAAATCAGGCTCTGCCTCTAGAAACCTAATCTATACTCATTGCCTAGCTGAAGTCAAAGATATCTAGAGCCTGAAAAGACTTCTACTGTATAAGCTCACACTGGGGTATCAGTCAGAATCAGGCTTTCATGAAGTTGAATATGGGCTGAGTTGTATGTCTGTGCATGTATGCATGTGCTGGTCCTAGGGCTTGAACTCAGCCTGGGTGCTGCCCCTTACCCTTTTTGCTCAAGGCTAGCACTCTACCACTTGAGCCAGAAGTGGTTCTGGCTTTTTGGTGGCTAGTTGGAAATAAGTCTCATGGACTTTCATGCCCTGGCTAGCTTTGAACTAGATCCTCAGATCTCAGTCCCTTGAGTAGCTAGAATGACCGGTGTGAGCTACCAACTCCAGGCCCTGGGCTGAGCTGTTTGACTTAGTGGCTACGAGTCCAGTTCTAGATCCAAACAGCTTGAGTTCATATCCCAGTTTGATCTCTTACCAGCTGACTGTTTCCTGCTTGTAAAATGTAGATGACATTGATAGTTTTATGGGACTGTTGTGTATATTAAATTGACTCATACATATACATTGGTTACTTATTTACTACATACCATTTACTTTTCTTTTCTGGGGATTGAACGCAGTGCCTGTACATGCTAAGCAAGCATTCTGCCACTGAGCTATATCTTCATACCAGGTAACTTTCAGGGCTTTGCATGTGCTACTTCAAACAATAATGCTATTCCAACATGTACTTTAAGTAACTTTAAGCCATTATGATTCAGTTGGTTTCCAAATCTCTGAAATGGTGGTGATCACATACACCTGTGGGAATAATTAAATGATTTGGCATATGTAAATGTTTGACTCCAGGCCTAGTGAATTAAATTAGGAATACCAACAATAAATTAAAATTTTGATTTAAGGGAATATTTAGTGGGCTTGTTATAGAATCCCAGACAGTGAAATATGACACCGCACAAAGAGAAAGGCCAGTTTAAAGAAGAGACTAAGCATAGCAAGGGGTGATCTTGACGGACTTTATTGGAAATATTATCTAGCCGTTCCTCCTGTGAACTAATGAAGCCTTCCTAAAGTATTTAATTACCCCAGAACAAAGCCCTTAAGTAACCCTAGCTATGAACTAGAATCCCCTGAGGTGCTCTTAAAACCACATTCAGCCATAATCTATTCTTTTGAGATTCTGACTGAATTGTTCTGGAGTGGCACCAAAGCATCTGCAGCCTTAACGCTACCCAGGGATTTTTCACGCATAAGTAAGTTTGCTGTGACATCAAAACCTTCCAAACCTCCGAGGAACCATAGAACCTATTGTGGGAGGAGAGGAACTGAAAAGAAAGCTTAAAAGAGCAAGTTGATGCCCACCACTGGTTGTAAAGTACTATGCTTTCTCTCCTCTCAAATTTCAACTGTTCACCTTGTGTGGCTTACAGGATTGTCTTCCTCTTTCAGTGATACTTCCCCTGGGATTCTTGATAGAGACTGCTTCCAGAATAAGGTAGGTCTTGAGATCTTTGGGGCTAGGTTTGGCATCAAGGTAGCATCAAGGTTGGAATATTCCTGCCATGTCTGAAATGTGTTAAATGGCTTCATCATACTCTTGGCTAGACTATCAATAATTAAGCAATCTAATGTCACTAGTTGTTACTGCCTGTCCTGAAACAGTCTGTTTATTAAGACCAGTCTTAGCAGTCTAGTGGCTGATGTTTGTAATCCTAGCTACTCAGGAAGCTGATGAGTATCAAGGTTCAAAGCCATGGGCAGAAAAATAGACTGTTAACTCTAATTAATCACCAAAAAGCCAGAGTGGAGCTGTTGTTCAAGTGATAAAACTCCAGCGTTGAGTGAAATGTCAAGTGAGATCACAGGGCTCTGAGTTCAAGCCTCACTAATGGTACAAAAAAAGAAAGGAAGGAAGAAAATGTATACTTTTCTAGGCTTACTAAAATAAAGGTTTGGAATTGTCTGCAGGCTACATTTTCATATTAAAATACTCTTTCCATTATCTTTTAAGAATCTAAAGATAACTCTCCAATATTGGATTATGCTTAGGCTTTATTTCTAGAAAGCCAATTCAGTTAATAATATCTGCTCATGACTCTAATATGTAGAGAAAGCGTGAAAGAACCACCTAGGCTTGTGTTCTTGAAAGCTACCTAGACCTAAATCCAGGGATTTAATCACCAAAATGCCCTCAGGAAAATCTGACATTTAGCAGCCTAGCTCTGTGCCCTGTGGCCATGTCCTGAGCACGATACAAAGCAGAAATTAAATTAAATAGTTTATTCTAGGGCATTTGCTTATGTCAGTCTTTGCTTGATCTTCTCCCACCCCAACTATAAAACTCTATGTCTCTGCTTTGCAGGAACCTCAGCAGTAGCTGTTGCTTGGAAACTTGAAGTCCTTGAAATGAATGTCTGCTAGGATAGCTAGAAACAGCCAGCCTAGGGGAAAGTGAGACTCCTAATGGCAGTAAAATGAAGCAGATTTGAGATGGTATATTGTTCACATCTAGGAGTCTTCATATGTTAGTATCTACAACTTCAGATATTTCAGACTGACATTCTAAAACAATTATAAACTAGCCTGAACTTAAACATTGTGCTGTGTATTCTTATTCTCCCAAAAGTTGTGAGCTGTCTGCCAATTAAGAGCTTAACTTGAGAAAGATGGAGAAGGGAAATGCTTAAAGATGAAGGGAACAGCTGCCCTGCATTTGCTTTCTCCGACACTCAAGCTTACAGTGTTAAACATCTTATCCCAGGTTTTTCCATTTTCAAGGATTCTTATGTATGTGTGCACGCTGGTACTGGGATGTGAGCCCAGGGACTGAGCACTGTCCCTTAGTCTTTTTGCTCGAGATGGGCACTCTATCACATGAATCACAGCTAAACTCCCAGCTTTTTCATAGTTAAGTGGAGATAAGAGTCTCACAGACTTTCTTGCCCTGGCTGGCTTCAAACTATGATCCTCAGATCTCAATCTCATGAATAGCTAGGATTACAGGCATGTGCCACCAGTTAGTCTATTTAAAAAACTAATAAGACTATATCATACAATATTAATTTTTTGGTCTCCTAAGGCATGGAATCAGTAATTCCTCACTCTATTGTCTAACTGCCTAGGCTATTGCCTTAATAAAACTTCCCACAGTTAAGACTTGACATACTTGTATCTTTCACACCACTTCCCTTTTGAGAATAGAAAACAGGCTTATGTCAAGATAATCTGATCTTAAATATCAACCTTTTCTTTGCTTACCTGTGTCTCCTGCCATTTAGGACTAATGGAGCCAGAAACCTTAGAAATATGTCCTTATGACCCAAACCACAGAATGCCAGCCAGCAGGTTACAGTACCACCTGGCATCATGCAGGAAGGTAAGTTTTCCTGATAGAAATTACAAATCGCTAGAAGGGGAAATTTTTCATGATATAAAATTTTAAAGCTTTTTTCAAAGAGAAAGAGAAAAAAGACAGCTGGGTGCCAGGGTACTTGTAATCTTAGCTACTCAGGAGGCTGAGATCTGAGGATCAAGGTTCAAAGCCAACCCAGGTAGACAAATCCCAAGAAACTCTTATCTTCAACTAACAGGCAAATAACAAGAAGTGGAACTATGGCTCAAGTGGCAGCATGCTAGCCTTGAGCAAAAAAAGTTAAGCAAGCATGTGTGAGGGCTTCAGTTAAAGCACTAGTACCAGCACACAGACACACACACACACACACACAGACACACACAGACACAGACACACACAGAGACACAGACACACACAGAGACACAGACACACACACAGAGACACACACACACACAGAGACACACACACACA